TTTTTTTTACATACAAGTATTTTGTATATAGACAAAAAAAAAGATTTTACGAAGGCAATCGAAAATCAGAAATTTTTCGTCGGTTGCATTGAATAAATTGATGTGAATCAAATTTTATATCATTTCTTTATATACATATATACGGATATACATAATTTTTCCATCTGAGGGCGCTTCCCACAACATAATGCAAATAGACAAGATGTATTCTTGCGCATGTTCAATTGTTACAGCCAATCAGAGTAATCTTGGCTTTTATTCCGCCATTTTTTCGGTGAATTTTGTTTCAATATGCCTGCTATGACAGTAAAAGTCAGTTTCATGTATAATAAATAATCAGTATTATTTGTAATATGACAACTTTTGACAACCTTTATAATATGACAATCTTTGTAATATGACTTTTGCAATTTTTCATACAATACGTCGACATTGCTACTTATTATTTATCACTTCTTATTATTATTTACTTATTTCACTTTATTAGTTTATATCAAAACTTGATCATCTGGGCTCTTATTCTTGAAAAAAAAAACGTACAAAAAACTAGGGAAATACTATAGTATACGTATACGTAATACTATCCCTATAGGTGCAAAATATTTCTAGAATGTTATATAAATATTATTAAAAAAGTTAAAATAAGATCTAATATTTTGAGAATATTGTATAATATTTTTTAATGTTATGAGAGTATTCTGTGGATGTTAAATGTTCACTTTTGTGTGCGTGCGTGCGTGCGTGCGTGCGTGCGTGCGTGCGTGCGTGCGTGTGTGTATTTGCTTTAACATCCCAAGCAATATTAAAATATTTATTAATATTAATTATTTTTATATTAGTGCAATTTGAACAATCTAGCAACGAGAAAATGTCTTATCAATCTAGGCTGCGTCTTGTGCTTAAATAACGTTCGGTGAGATTTTACGTATCCTACAACTGCACGCCAAAATTATTTTTAGTCTTTAAACATATCTTTAAAATAACTGGTGTAACAGTTTTACAAATTAAAGTAAATGTTATGATATTTTTTAATGTTTAATATTACAGTTAACACTAATTAACTTTTAATAGTGAAAAATGTAAAAAAGCCTATCAGAGTCTACATCAGCTATTCGGATGATATGGGCTTTTTACATTTTTCACTGATAGATTCTTTCGAGTCTCATTATATATATTTGTTTAACTTTTAATAATTATGTAATATTATCAGGAGTGAACATATAATCATCCATTAATATTTCAAGAATATTATTTAATATTATATAATTTCAGTAAAATATTCTTCAAATGTTATGTTTAATATGGAAATATGCCTAAAATATTATTTAATATTATATGCCTATAAAGATAATATTTCCTTAGTTTTCCGTATTTGTAGTTGGAAGTATGGATCATACTTCTCGACACTTCTTACACAATGCAATTTGTATCTTCCGAGCTAAATGTCGGTAAGTAATGTATCATAATAATAATGAAAGACAGAAAAACTGTAATTTGAACTATTTACTTTACTTAGATTGCAGTCAGGAATGGGCAAAATACTCGATAAATTTTATTTAAATACAAAATACTCTATATAAAAAGTAATCAAATACGAAATACAAAATACTTTCAAAAAATAAAAATGTATTTAAATACATATATTTCAAATACTGTCCACCATTGTTAGAGGACACAACGTTAGAAGTGCATTCCGTTTCATGCATGATGCATCATTTATCCTTGTTCACCAAATTTAAATAAGAATAAATGCAAACATAGGAGTGACTCATCTTTTTCACTTTTTCTCATTTTTTTAGAAACATCTCACTTTTTCTCACTTTTCTACAAAAAATTCACTTTTCTCACTTTTTTGGTGTACATTACTATTCATAAATTCAGAAACGCTTGCACTTGTCTTGCATTTTACAAAAACTTAACTAAATATTATAAATAGGAAAAAAATTATAAAAAAATTTTAAAAAATGCAATGTAAAGACAAAAAATAGAGCTTCAAAATGGC